ACTTGAGAAAGATGAGCACCCTTCACCCCACCTCTATTAGTAGATGTAGCCTTTCAGACTCAACTGTGGCTACACAGTGTAATCACCTGGAAAATATTAGCTAGATTTGAAAAATGCTAATGACCATGTCTACCCACTAATATGCTGATGAATTGGCCTGGGCATTGGCATTTTTTGAAGAATAGTGGGGTCCTTCCAAACTGCATGGTTCTTAAAAAATGTGTGTGTGCTCTTTTATGTGCACATGGAAGCTAGAGGTTGATGTCAAGTATCCATCTTTAAAAAACAAAGAAAACCATTTATTTGGGGGTGTGTGTGTGTAAAACCACAGCACGCTTGTGGAGATCAGAGAATAACCTGCAGGAGTTGGTTCCCACCTTCCATCCCATTGTAATAGATCCTGGGGATTGAACTCAGGTCATCAGGCTTGGCAGCAAGAACCTTTACCCACCGAGAAGACAGGGTCTTTTTTTTTTTTTGTATCTGGAGCTCAGTCAGTTGGCTGGACTGGCTGGCCAGCAGGCTCCAGGGGATCTTCTTGTGTCTGCCTCTGTGCTGAGGTTATAGGCACACACTGCCTGTGCTTGGCTTTTATGTGGGTTCCGGGGTCTCAGAGCCTCATGTTTACCCAGCAAACGTTTTGTCTTCTGGAATTTTCATGTTTGTCTATCTCCCCAAATGCCAAGTTTTCTGTGGCTCTAGGGCAGTGCCTAAGAAAGACAGATATAAAGGAAGGTGGCAGATAGGTGGGCAACATGCCACCCACCAACCAGGTCTAGGGCAACCACAGCAGGATGAGGGTGTGAGCTACTCACAGCAAGGAAGGGCCGTTTACCTGGACCTGGAGACAGCTATTCGGTGGGCAGTCTTGCAGTGCAGATCCCTTCATTTGGCCATCAGAGTGAGGGTGACAGCTCAGTGCCAGCAGAGCCAGGGCCCCTTGAGAATGTCTGCTACGTGAGACCCTCCCCTATAACACTGGCTAATAGGTCGGTCCCCATCTCCGCAGCTGGGACACAAAAGACTTAGAATCTCTAGCCACAGCTGCCCAGAGTGCGTTGGTGGGAGAGGACAAACTAAATCCCTGTTTTCGTTCCTTCCCCCCAAATGGAGCTCACGTAAAGCCTTTAAACCATCGGCTTTTATCTGTTTTTAGTGTCCAATTTAGGGCTTTGCAGGGGCTCCCTTCAGGGCTCTCTCAATGGATTTATATCACAGCCAGATAGCATCTTCGAAAGCTCATCTGAGCTGGAAAATAGAGAAACATCCTTCTCCATTGTCAAGTGACAAGCGATGGGACCCAGGCTGCCGGGGAGAAGTGCACAGGGGATCCACTCTGGATGCTGTGGCTGGGGTGTGCCTTGCCCAGGGAGGGGGCAGCTGGGTAAGAAAGGAGGGGAGAACTCTGAGCAGGGGCCTGAACTGCCTTCCCTTTTTTGAGTATAGACTCGCCAATCCTGACAGTCTTGAAACAAAGGATTCACTGTCTCTGGGCTTGTCACCTGTAGGCAAGAAGATGTCAGCTCCTTGGCCAACCACCAGGTGCCATTTGCAAAGAAGTGTGCAGGGAGGGTGGGCGGGGGAGGGAGGGGTGGCGTGAAGATGCCTGCTCAGGCTTGCCTGGCAGGAAACAACAGCTCTCTTCTGTATTGCTAAGCTGGCTTCTTTAGCTTCCTGCAGGAGCTGCATTAACCCCCTACTTTCTGTCCAGTGTTCTCAGGATAGGGCTTTCGTGGGCTCTTTCTTTCCACACTCATTTGTTGAGCATCTAATATGTGCCAGGTGGTGTCAAGGATGGGGTTCCTGTCTTCAGGTTGTTCATGATGAGTGTGTGTGGAGGAGGGTGGGGGTGAAGAGGCGATGTCGGGGCAGCAGTCAGAGGGGAAGCAGTCATTACAAACAGAAGTGGTCAGAGCCAGAGCCCAGCACAGCCTGGCCTGTGAGCTCAAGGGTCTCCCCAGAGTGACAGCCAGCCCAGGAACTGTGAGCATCCCCAGCAGGAACACACAGCAGGAACTTCTGACCTGAGACTGGGGTCTGGATGAGGATTCACAGGATTCCCAGGGCATTCCTGGTTTATGCCTGTTGTCCTGGCAACCCTTTCATTCTGAAAATGTCAGAGTTAAGCTGACAAACAGGTGTAAATCAGAACCACTTCCGAAAACCCATCAATGCTGTATTCACAGGACATACATCATCCAGGCTGAGACTATTTTGTGAAGCTGAGTCGGCATACCTGGTAGGTCTGTGGTGTGTGTGTGTGTGTGTGTGTGTGTGTGTGTGTGTGTGTGTGTGTGTGGTGTATGCATGTGTATGGTGTTTGTGTGTGTGAAATATGAGGTGAGTGTGTGTACGGTGTGGTGATATGTTGTGTGTTTGCATATGTGACTGTGTGTGGTATGTATGTAGTATATGTATGTTTATGTGTATGTACGTATATGTGTACATGCATGTGGATGGTAGGTGTGTGCAGTTTGTGGTATGTGTATATATATGTGTATGGTATGTGTGTGGGATATGTTTTATGTATGTGTTTGTGACATGTTATGTGTATGTATGTGTGTGTGTGTGAATAGTATGTGTGTATATGCATATGTGTGGAGTGTGGTGTGTATGTGTGAATAGTGTGTGTGGTGTGTGTGTGTGCATGTGTGTTGTATCTGAATGCTGTGTGTGTGCATGTGTGAACATGCATGTGTGATAAATGAGTGTTTTGTAGAATGTATGCCCTCACTTTAGTAGAGATTATAAAGTGGCTTTGCAGTTGGAAATGGTGATCATAAATGTGAGAGAATCCACGACAGCTTGTCTGACCTTTTCCATTCACTAAATTGAAGTTCAGAAAGAGAAGGGAGAAAGCAGATGGAGAAGAGAACCATGGAAGGTGTCTAGTAGGAGCCACATGGGTTACACCAAGCTCTGGCTCATTCTCACAGCAAATCTAGGCAGTGTATCTAGCATACACATTTTCCAAATGAGGAAACTGAGTCTTGGGAGATCCCATGACTGTGTGGGCCACAGAAGATAAGCAGCAGATCTGGCCTCCAGATCTGACATCACACAGAGCAGCATGTCCTGGGCAGTCCTGGGCACAGCATGTCCTGGGCAGTCCTAGGCAAAGCATGACCTGGGCAGTCCTGGGTACAGCATGACCTGGGCAGACCTGGGCACAGCATGACCTGGGCAGTCCTGGGCACAACATGACCTGGGCAGTCCTGAGCACAGCATGACCTGGGCAGTTCTGGACACAGCATGACCTGGGCAGTTCTGGACACAGCATGACCTGGGCAGTTCTGGACACAGCATGACCTGGGCAGTCCTGGGCAAAGCATGACCTGGGCAGTCCTGGGCAAAGCATGACCTGGGCAGTCCTAGGCAAAGCATGACCTGGGCAGTTCTGGACACAGCATGACCTGGGCAGTCCTGGGCAAAGCATGACCTGGGCAGTCCTAGGCAAAGCATGACCTGGGCAGTCCTGGGCAAAGCATGACCTGGGCAGTCCTGGGCAAAGCATGACCTGGGCAGTTCTGGACACAGCATGACCTGAGCAGTCCTGGGCAAAGCATGACCTGGGCAGTCCTGGACACAGCATGACCTGGGCAGTCCTGGGTACAACATGACCTGGGAAGTCCTGGGCAAGGCCGTGCTGGCTCCAGCTGCTTCCTCTGCCAGTCTTGTCACAGTCCTTGGTTCCCCAGGGGACTTTCACAGTCCTCTGGGAATCTCATTTCCTGGAAACGTCATGTAGAATCCATCTTAGCCTCCAACCCTTTTTTTCCTTCCAAAGTTCAACCTGGGAGTCTGAGGGACAGAGGGCGAGGCATTTGGAGCAAGGAAGAGGCTTGGGACAGGAGGGGCTCCCTTCTAGGTCACACCAACAATGTGCTCTTGTCCCTGGGGCTTATGAATGAAGATGAGCAATGGATGGCTGTCAGGATCCTTCTAGCTTTGGCATGACCATCATCCCAGGGTTGGGGTCCCTATTCATCCTGATTCTGGTGGTGAAGTGTGGGAAACTGGCATCTTTGGAATCGTCTGCCTTCTCACTGTGAAATCTGGATTCTGCAAGATCTGTCAAGCAGGTTCCCTGCACACAGCATCAGCAGAAGCCCCTCCACACCCTGGCTAGAAGCTGAAAGACCTTCTAACAGGAGCGGGGGGGGGGGGGGGGGGGGGGGGGGGGAGCCGTGAAGGCCACTTTGCCATTGTGAGGACACCTGGTGAGTGTGCTGAATGAGCTCCTCTGTGGACATTGCTTGGCTCTGGATCTCAGAAAGGTCAGGGATAGGAGCCTGGCCAAAACCCTGGAGGAAGCATCTTTCTAGGTCAGAGCCAGGGAGGAGGCCACGGGTGTTGGTTTCAGATGGCTGAGCAAGCGGCCCTGCTGGGACTTGCTTCTGCTAAGTCCCACCAGCATGCACCCTCTTGGCTGGCGTCAGATCCCTGCTCTGCCCCCTTCAGGGACAACAGCTCTCTGGCTGCGGGCATCAGAATACCTGCCTCACCCCTCCCCAGCAGGGCTCAGAGCTTCCTGTTTCTTAGCCAGGGGCCCAGCTGGGGATGACGGAGATGGGAGATCACTAGGAGACCCAGACTCCTTGCTCAAGTGGTGGCGGTGAGGTGTGCCCTACTTGAGCACTTCCTCGCCTCTGCCAGGCATGAAAGCTGGCCTACTGTGTGCACTAGGGTGGGGCTCCTCCTAGGTGTTCCTAGATGGGACTATGGCCCAGACGGAGGGAAGTGTGCTGCCCATACCTAAGGATCTGCCGCTATTACCCGGGGCCTGAAGAAGGACAAAGGGATTCTGCTTTTGTCTTTATACCTCAGTGCTGCTGGCTGGGGTAACAAGGGCGTTTGCAGTCTCAGCATGCCCTTTTCAAATCAGGGTCGTCCAACTCTCCCCTCTGAAGTTTCACTCTGTGTGTGTCTGGGCCCTCAGCGCTGTTTCCACACATGTACTCTGACGCCAGTGTTCTACATGAGCTGTGATCCACGTTTACCTTGTAGATGAGGAAACCCAGGAACTCGAAGGTGAAGTGACTGACCGGCCATGGTGAGAGTGAGGCAGAGCTGGGACAGGAGCACAGGCCACTGTACAGTGGGCAGTCACAGACTCCCTCCTTCTCAGGGTGGGGTCTGGGGCCAGCCTGGAACTAGGAGACCTGTGACTGCGGATCTGCAGGTGCTGGCACCACAGGAAGGTTCCAGAATGGAGGAGGAGCCTGTTGCTGTGTAGGCTAGCCAGACCTGCAAAAACAGTGGTGTCCAGTGGAGAGGCCAGGTGGAGAGGGGGCTGCATCCAGCCTGCTGCTCAGTATCAAGTAGAAATGTGGAACTCTTTGCAGGTCTTACACCCTCATGCTGAGAAGGGAGCGGGGAGACACTGAGCCTGAAGACGAGAGAGCTCCGTGCCAGGGAACACAACCAGCTGGCACTTCTGTAAATATTGACTGAGTTGCTACCCTGGCCTTGGCAGTGGGTGGGTGCCCTTTGGTTGTGACAGAATGCATCATTCAAGGGGGATGAGTCAGACACAGGGGTGAGTCTAAGCAAGACAGAATTGTGGGGTGTACGGGGTGACCAAGCAGACCCCAACCTGCTCCTTACTACATTTCTACCTTCTTCGGATCTCTTGGGTTTCTTTGGAGCTGGCCTTTTAGACTGGCCTGTCTGCATGGGGCCTGTCTGCTGACGCCAAGGGACACCAAGCAGCTTGCCCTAGCTGGTTCCTGTGCCACCTGCTGCTCCTGCCTCCATGCTAGATCTTCCCTCTGACCCTTCCTGCAGCTCCCCGCCATTTCCTGCTGCCCACTGGCCCCTTCTCATCTCCCTGTGTCTCCTCCCCTGGTTGATCTTAAGCTGTGTTGACTATGCTGCATGATGATTGTTCCCAGCATCCCTGCCTGCCCAGGCTTCTCTCAGCTCCCCAAACCTTACCTAATCCTGGCCTGGGAATGGTCCCGATCACCTTCCTCAGCTCCCAGATCAGGGCTCAGCCCCTGGAGACAGGCCCAGACTCCCGCCATACCCTCTCAGTGTCATCAGCAGCAGGTGGCAGTCACATGGGCCAAAGGCCTGTCCTCAGTCTTCACATCACAGCCCAGATTTTCGCCGTTAATGTCATTGATTTCCTCTGCTGAACTGCGAGGATCAAAGGCTGCCCGGGCAACTCGGCAGTTCATTAAGTCCAGGCTGCCCCAGGGGACTGGCCAGAGGATAAACATGTGCATTACAGGCCAGGCCAGGACCTGGGGGACTGCCCACTGCAGGGGGTGCAGCCTGCTACTTGGCAGTGTGTTGGATCAGGACTAGGTGGATGGGGAGGTCAAAACGCAGGCAGGCCGTGCTAGAGTCATTTTTGCCTGGCTGCAGCAGCCACGTGTGGGATCGGCTACTAGTTCACGACCAACAGGATATAGCACCTGCTCCCTCACAGACTCCCCACCACCATCCCACCATCCCTCCCAACAGACAGACCCTGCTGGGCCCTGCACGGGGCACCCAAGGCCAGACTTCCAAAGACTGTGCCCCACCTGAAGCAGAGAGTCCCCAGCAGGGCGGTGGGGCCTGGACGACGGAAACTATTTCTGGGTTAGAGGTCACCTTTCGGTTTCCCTGGGTGTTCGCTCTTGTTTTCCAAGTGACTCATTGGCAACATTTTAGACGATTTGGTCTCTGAAGTACAAAGTAGAAAATGAGGTTGGCAGCTGTTGGGCCTGTTGATTTTTCCACTTCCTTTCTCCTTGCCCCATCAGGCAGTTGGCCTAGGGAAGGGAGCACCTGGATGGATTAGTCCTGGCAACCCCAGGCGAGGAGCATCGCTCGCGGTGAGGGATGTGTGACGGAAATGGCGGGAGGGAGAAAAGAAGGGGGAAAGCAGCTATTCTCTTGGTCCCCACTCCTCACACGATGTCGTCTCCTTCTGAGTTCCCGCCTGCCTTCCATCCCATTTGTCCTCTCTCATTGTCCCTAGCTCACGTGAAATGTGAGCACTTACAGAGACAGACGGGCATTCTAGGCAAAAAGAAAGGGCCTTCATGAAGACCAAGGGAATCTGAAGGGTCAAGGGACTCCCAAGGGCCCACTGGAGGCCAGGGGATAATGGCCTGTCCCCGATGACAAGAAGACACTTAGGCGGAGGAGAGCTCTCCCACCCCCAGGGCTGTACTGTGCGTAGTAGGTGGCCTTGACCATGCAGGGCCTGTGTGTATTAGGTGGCCTTGACCATGCAGGGCCTGTGCGTAGTAGGTGCCTGTGATTTCATGATGAGAGCAGATGACTAGAGAGGAAACTGCCTGAGACAGGCCAGTCTGGCCGGGGCTCTTTTTCGAGTGACGCCTAAGCCAGAGACAGACAAGTCTGGGGCTAAGGGAGGTGCCGGATGGGAGTAGGTCGTCCGTG